GATAGATAGATAGATAGATAGATAGATAGATAGATAGATAGATAGATTGAAAGATAAAAATAACAATAATAGAGATGATAATAATGGTAATGATAGAAATTGTAATAATAATGATAATAATACCTTATCATTGTATTTCTCCGTTTGACAAAAACAAAACAAAAAAAATTGGTTCAGTTTCTAATTTTACTTCAGGCCACGTCCTAAACAGAGATCTCCAAACAGTTGTTCACAGATGGCGATAAATGCTTGTTTACAGTGTCCCTCAGTGATAAATAGCCTAAGCAGGTTGATTTATTTCTGTGTTTCAGGTTACAGCCTATTCGCTGTTGCGGCTCATGAGCTTGGTCACTCCTTGGGCTTGACCCACTCAAAAGACCCCTCTGCTATCATGTACCCCACTTACAAGTATCGCAGCAGCGCACCGTACGCTCTGGCCACAGACGATGTGCTGGGAATCCAAATGCTCTATGGTGAGGAGCAAGTTAATCATGCAGGGGCGTTTCCTAAAACATGGAGGTCAAAGTGTGAAAGCTTGTTGTGTAAAACGCACCGCTGTTTCCCAGGAAAACCCAAAGACAAGCTAGGAACCCTGCCAACTGCTCCAAAAAAATGCCACCCCCACTTTTCTTTCGACGCAGCTGCACTGATCCAAAACGAGATCACGTTCTTTAAAAACAGGTAGGTGGTGCTGTGTGTCGCAATCGTTCATGATTTGAGGTATGTTTAAAAGGCAGCTTTTGCTTCTGCCCAGACGCATGTGGCTGAGAACAACAAAGTCGTCTTATTGGAATCGTCTGAGGGAGGCCCCCATCAGCGCATATCTACCCAGCGTAAATTCTCCTGTCGATGCTGCTTACGACATCCCCGCCAAAGGCATGGCGTACATATTCAGTGGTAGGGTAATGGGCAGTCTGGTAAATATCTCTCAGGCCTTTTCAGCATGACAAAGCTGCTTCTTCCAGCAGGAGAACACAATGTCACACCCAAATTACAGGCCTCTGACGCATAACCGTTGCAGCCTGTGCAAGAGGCTCACCGAGTTTGGAAACGTCTGCGGTATGTTGCTGGTTTTTCTTTGTGTCGTGTGTATTTCCAGGTCCTAAGTACTGGGTGGTTCAGCGGCTCAGGACAAGGAGTCGTTCCGACTCCATCTACGAATATGGGTTCCCCTCCTCCGTCAGGCAGATTGACGCCGCGGTGCACGTCCACGAACACGGGAAAACTATGTTCTTCGTAGGAGAGGTTTACTACAGGTAACTTCTCATAGTGCAAAGGTGATTGTTACATTTTCATCTTAGCGAAGAAACGCGAACGGGAAAAGGAAATTCAAAACTGTTCCAAGTATGGGTGCCAACAGTAATTCAAAAGACTGTCTGATCTCTAAAACAATGTGTATAAATGTTTGAACTTAGGTATGATGAGAACAACAAACAGATGGACCCTGGCTTCCCTAGACTTATCCAAACTGACTGGCGAGGACTCCCACGACGGATTGATGCTGCATTTAAGTTACATGGTAATAAATTACCTACGCATTGTTTTATCCATCCATATCTATGACTACTACATTGCTTTGTTTTTTACATTTCTGTGATATAGACATATACAGAACAATTTTTAAAACTGTTTTCATCCAACAGGAAGCATATTTCTTCTCAGTGGGTCAAAATCCTATCAATTTGACTTCAGAAAAAAGCAGGTGGTGAAAGTAATTCCTGGAAACTCTTGGCTGGGATGCTGACTTACGCATGAAACATCCCTTTTATGCGTTTTAAGATCAAATACTTCATACATACATTGTGCATATAATGATGAATGATTAAATGGTTGTTTGTTTAATGTACAACACACATGGATGAAGATGCATGGTCTGAGCTGCATGATGTCAATGCTGAATGTTTTATTTATTTATTCAGTTGATATGCTGAATTCAAGTGTGTTTATTCACTGGCTATTGTTATTGCACATGTCAGTAAGAACACTGGCAAACTTTAAGACTGCACATCTAGTTGACAACGTCTCAATGTGGAACAGCTCCTTGGCGAAGGCTGCTCAAAACCCTGTCGTTGGTGGAAGGTTACACCACAGACTGTCACTTTAACAGCATTAAGTCTGAGCCCCACCCAACTCAGAATTGTTCAGATGGTTTTCTTTTCTTTGAAATAAGTAGTGGTTTGTTCGGGTAAGGCATGAATATGTGTTTTGGGTAACCGATTAAAAAAACTCAAGTAAATATGTACACACATATACAAATATAGTAAACTATTTACAAGCCGATGTCCCGCTGTCTGAATACTTTCCTCTAAAGAAAAAAAAAAACAGACCCTCACAACAACAGGACATACATACCTATCACACTTATGAGTCTCTTGTTGGACTGGGTTCGAACCGGTAAATGAACAGACTCCATCTTATTATCGAACTCAATTAGATAAACTGTGCTAAAAGATTTGGGCTGTTTTAATATTTCCTACAATGAACAGATGGAAAAACATAATGAACATGTTCAGGAAAAAAATAAATGACTGTATTGAGGAAAATAAAGTCAACAGCATGTTGTTTAAAATATCTTATTAAAGATGTGAAATACTCTGTTGTTTCTTATTTTGATTAATAGAAGAGATATACTGTATGTATAAAGAAAAGGGCAGTCTTTGTATATTACTGGCCAATAATGTCCTTTGAACATTTTTAAATTTGCATTGTCAGTATTAAAACTGAAAATTTTAAAAGTATAAAACGGTTGAACTGAATTCAAATGACCAAGTTGCTGTAGATAAGAATAAGAATAGTTTAACCATTTCAGGTGGTTAATCATCAACACAACTCCAAGGATGTCAGTGAACACAACAAATGCTCTCAAAGATAATAACTGACACCAGAACTTTAGTTTTATTTATCTTTTTTCTTTAGTTATGCTCAGTTGGTTTTTGGGTAAAAAAAAAGAATTAACCCAACATTTTTATTACTCGTCTAAACCAAAACAGCACCTTCAGAACTGAAGAAAAAAAAACAACGCACAAAGTTGAACTGTTATGACCTCCCACTGTGCTAACAGGGGGCCCACTTTTCAGCCTCTTCCCTCTCCTTCCATTAAAGGGGCGGCTTTTGTCATTGGCTGGCTAACCTTACAAATACAGAGGCTACCCTTTGTATTCTGTCAGTTTTGAATCAGAACGCAAACCACCTCGGATTGTCCGGGCTGCCTTTTTAAAGAGGAGACTCAGTGAGGAGGAAGAGAAGATTTTTTAAATATGTCTTCTGCTGACTTTGGGATTCTGCTGCTGGCTTGTTTGTCCATGTGTCGTGCACTACCCATCCCCGCTCCCACAATCTCATCTGAGGATGAAGATCTGGCCAAGGTATCATCAATATGAGTGTTAGACTTCTTGGAATGCATACAACATGTATAGAATTCTACAGAAATTAAGCTAAACAACTAAATGAACATGTATTTTCTTTCACCACTGAAGGAATACATCTCTAAGTACTACTCGACTGATAGTGGGGCAATGAGCCCCTCACTGCTGAATATCGATGGGACTGCTACTTTCATTGAAAATATCCGGGCCATGCAAGCCTTCTTTGGTCTTGAGGTAATAACAGTGAATAAAATGTTTGAACTTTTAAAAGTGCTCATTATTTGGGTTATCTGTGATTAAATGCTGAAAGCTAATGTTTGTCTAATACTTGGTACTTGAACAGATTTCAGATAACGGGTCTTGAAGTTTTCAAAACTTACGCTAAAAATCTCATGTCAGGTGACAGGCACTTTAAATAGCAAAACCGTGGAAGTCATGAAGGCTCCGAGATGTGGCGTGCCAGAAGTTCAGCAATTTCAACACTTCGCATGGAAACCAAAATGGGAAAAACAACTAATTACATACAGGTAATAAGATCATTATTATTTGTAAAAAAAAAGGAATAGCTGCTGGTTTTGTTGCTGTTCTGTAGAAATATGACTGAGAGGAGATAATTCTGATACTTATTGTGCTGCTGATACGACTTGAACAGGATCACTCAGTATACTCCAGATCTGACACGGTGGCAGGTGGATGAAACCATTGCTCAGGCCTTCAAACTTTACAGTGATGTCATCCCACTGGATTTCAAGCAGGTCTACTGGGGTACTGCTGACATCATGATCTTCTTCCAGAGTAGAGGTGAGTCTGAATGAAACACCTATCTCTGGATAAAAAGCTGAGTTTCAAAAACCCCATTGGATTGTTGTGCAAAATGGAAATGAAAAACTAAATGTAATGATCCGAAAACCTCATTAAGAAAGATGTCAAAACTGAACATGAAAAACAAATTGCTACTTGAAGGCAGGAGCTTTGTTGTTTTCATTGGTGAGAATGATCTGAGCTCATTCCACTGAGCTTTCCATTTGGTTGGAAACAAAATACGACGCCGAAGCAGATCCAAAGACCATGAAATGATTTGTCTCGCTGTAGAACATGGAGACTTCTCCCCTTTCGATGGGCCTGGCCGCCAGCTGGCTCACGCTTACCCTCCGGGGCAAAATGTAGGAGGGGACGCACACTTTGACGAGGATGAAACCTGGAGTCTCACCCCCTATAGTAAAACACCTTCCACCACGATATTCCAGTACATTTCTCACCCATGAGTTTAATCTGGGCCTGTTGTCTCTGATGCTTTCGGCTGCTTTCAGACGTTAACCTGTTGCTGGTGGCAGCCCATGAGTTTGGCCATTCCTTGGGCCTCCACCACTCAGATGACATCAATGCACTGATGTATCCCACCTATAAATATGTCAACACAAATGGATACAAGCTGCCAGATGATGACAGACGTGGGGTTCAAGCGCTATACGGTAAATAGAGATGTGATGTTACACACTCTTAGTTAAAGATGGCGCCTGATTGAAAAAATGACTCAATCAGGTAATTGATGTCAGTTGAAGGCGTGGGGATAAATGAAAGTTTCCACGGCTCTATTTTGGATATTTAGTTCTCTTTCCTTTCAGGCAGTCGCACGTCAACTCCCACAGTACGACCGAGATTTCAGTGGCCTTTTGTTCCAGAACCTCGACCCGATCCAGTGGATCCGACTCCCATGCCCAGCCCGCGCGATCAGCAATGCAGTTTTGATCTGGCAATTGACGCTGCCGTCTCTATCTGGGGAGACCTATTTTTCTTCAAAAATGGGTGCAATATTAATCATTTGACATAGTTAACTGAATTGAGTGGAATATTCAACTTGCATGTTTTCATATAATTCTAACTTTAAAGTAATATGTAAATAGATACTATTGGTGGAAAAGTACTGGCTTTCCAGAGATCAGATTCTCTAAAGTCAGTACAATGTGGCCCCCAATCAACTACGTGGATGCTGCCTGTGAAGTCCCTCACAAACAATTGGTGTATGTTTTTCAAGGTAATGTTCATGAGTTTGAGATCAAATATGACAAAAAGCACTTGAAAGGTTGAACAAGTATAATAAGGTTTTAGAGGTATAAGATTTCTCTATCTTCTGCTGTTTCTTCACAGGCAATCAGTACTGGGGCGTTCGAGCAGAACAAAAGTCGATACTGCCCGGCTATCCCCAGCCTATCACCAACCTTGGCCTCCCTGCCTCAGTCATGAAGGTGGATGCCGCTGTTTATCATCAAACATTAGGAAAAACTCTCATTTTTGTCGACAATCAATTTTGGAGGTGATTATATGTTATGATTTTCAAAAATGAAAGTTCGCAAAATCTATGTATTAGGCATGGCGACCACAACGTAAGAGTTTTGCATGTCTCACTTGCTTCGCAGCTATGACGAAACCTGGAATGTAATGGACTTTGGTTCCCCACAATACATCTCCGTGCATTTTTCGGGCATCGGCTCCAAAGTGGATGCAGCTTTTGAGAATCATGGTGAGGGATAACAGGAATGAGCTACAAGAATCATGGCGTGATAGATCTGTTATGATCTTCCCAGATCAGTGCTTTGGTTTTACATGCCTTATAGTTGATACGTAACTACAATTTTTCTGTGCCAACTTTCTCAGTGGGTAATACAATACTGTGGATTTGGTGTCAGTGCTTTATTAAGTGATTTGCCTCAAAGTTGCCAGTATGATTTAAATCGAAATCTCCCTCTCTATAGGATCCATTTATTTTGTCGAAGGCGCCAAACAGAGACAATACCACCTTTCATACAAAACAGTGACACAGGAGCTGTTGAACTACGAGTGGCTCAACTGTGCATCTGCAGGAAACTACACCATTTACTACAAATTCTTCAGTATGCATCATGGATATCTTTAAGAGCTATTGGAACTGCAGTGTTATTCGGCTTCATTCTGTTTTAAGCAAAACTTTTTTTTTCTTTCTTTAAAGGACGTGTTTTGCAGCAAATGAGTCTGAGACAAAATTTTAACTTATTTGTCATTTAATCAATTCTGTAAATAATACTTCACCTAATTTGATATGCTGCAGTTTTTTTTGTGTGTGGAGCTATTACATACCAGTGTTGAATGTTTTAACTGAAGTATTTACTTAATTTGAAATCATGTTGCTCAATGTTTGATGAGAAATTTCCCTGTGATCACATGCCTACTTTGCAAAAAAACCTATGACCCTTCCATAGCCACTTGATGGTCTCAGTATTTTACGAAATCCATACATTTTACTACGGAGGCTGAGAAGTGCAAAACACATTTACAATAAAAGAAAAAAACGTTGAAAAATTAAAAAACAAAATAACATTGTAAGATACACATTCACAATTAAAGAAACACATCCATCCATTTTGTGAACTGCTTATTCCCAAATCGGTGACATGAACAAATGAAAAAACAATATAGCATTTTAAGAAACAAATAAATTTTTTAGGAAAGAAACATTTTTGAAAAAAATTGTTTCTTAAAATGTTATGTTCTTTTAATTTGTGTGTTTTCTGAACTTTAAATGTGTATCCTAAAATTTTATTCAGCTTTTTAGAATCATAAGGTGTTTTTTTAAATTGTAAATGTGTTTTGCACTTCTCAGCCACCGTAATCCAGAGTACTAGGAAGGCACTTGCTACTTTAGGGAAATAATCTCTTGGATGTGAATCTGATCAAAACAATCTAAACAGATTTGACAGAAATCAGGGTCACATTATCAACAATAATTTATGCAAAGACATACATGCATACTTTCATGTTTGTGACACACATTTACTGACATTTTATATCATTTTTTTCACTCAGTATCTCTCTTAGATCTCCTGACTGCTGGTGAGTGAAAAGCAGAAGTCTACAAACAGATTACAACAGTGTACAAGTGGAGGCGTGTGTGGCTGAAGCACATCTGCTCCGAAGAAAGGATTGAATGTGAGAATAAAAGATCTGATGTCAAATATAAAATGTTATTGATGAAATACTTATAGATACACCCTCATACTTTAGCCATATCTTCAAGAAAAGGTACGCAGCCACCATTGTTCTGAAAATGAACCTCTTTGCTGATACCAAACTTCCATTTCTTTTTCCTAATGCTGCAGTGTAAGAACTAAAACCACAAAACTTCTTGACTACTTAGGAATAGAAACACAGATAAATCATAGATTTTATTAGATTTGGGTTTCATGTGTCCCTTAATATACTTATTTGAACACACAGGACTTGAATAGTTGGTTTTCCCTCATTATGAAAGCAGATGTTTAAAATCGTCTCTTCCAGAAACGCTGGTTCAATAAGCCACAAAATCTTCAGAACGCTGTCAGCATTTCTTATCAGCAGTGTAACCCCAACAGAAAACTCCCCGAACTGAGGTTTATGAATAACCCTGACTAGCACCACAAATTAAACCTCATTCAAATTTTCAAATTTAAGAAAGTCAGCATATGTTACATAACTGTTTGCTCAATTAGAAACCACAATGCCTTTTTTTGTCATTTGGGTGAGCCAAAACTACTTTTTTATTTGTTAAGGAACTTTTGGTGGTTTTTAAAGAACACAGATTAGACATCCTCGATTATATCAGAATGACGGGACAGCTAGAAATGTCATAAGTTATATATAGTGGAAAAACCTGCCAGTACATCCTGTGCAACCCAAAGAAGCTCAGTTTGCCACATTTCTGATGATCCATCCATCTATTCATTTCCAATGATTCCAAACGGGGTAGCAGGGGGCCAGGAGCCTATTCTAGCTGACACTGGGTCAGTGACAGGGTACACCCTGGACAGGTCACCCGTCCATTTCAGGGCCACGCAGAGACAAACAACCACATGGACTCACTAATAGGGGTGTTCAGTTAACCCAACATGCATGTTTCTGGATGGTGGGAGGAAGGGGAAACCTGGGGGGTACCAGGGGAAACCCCAGTAACCGGGGGAAACCTACACAGAAACAGGGAGAACATGAAAACTCAATTTGTGATTGCAAGATGCTGCTGAGAAATAGTTAAAGTAAGTGCTTGAAAAAAGAATTACCTTCAGTTAAGAGACGAAAAATATAGTTTGTGAGTAATTTGGCGTTCAGAAACAAAATTTTACAAAGGTGTGGAGATTCTGTGTGAATGTCCACATGCTGGCATAGAAATTCATTTCAATAGCATAAGCTGATAATATGATGTCTTTAAGAATGTAAATGTAGTAATTCTAGTGCTTGCAGTGACTGATCGCAGGCTTTTTTACCTATGGTTTGAAGAAAAAGTCAAAAACTGTCCACCGCTCCAACTTTGTTTATGGTAAGAGCAGTCACCATACCATGGAAAATCCTGAATTTACAGGCCACTGTCAAGTCATGGCTTTTCTCCGAGGTGAGTAAAGCATGCAATGTTCGAGTTTCAGAAAAGTTACTTTTAAATGTTGTTTGTGGGGATGTTGCTCAGTCACTTTGCTTTGTGTCATGTTGTCCAAAAATAATAAAATCAAGAAGGCCCAAACATTTCTACAGGGGACTTTTTTAAACATATACGTAAATTATTAATGACAGTAAAAGCAGCAAGACTTTCAACCAATTAGCATTAACAAGGGACATCTGAGGATGCACTACAGTGGCTTGCACTGAAGTGTAGCAAAGATCATTTAGGCCTTGTAGCTTGTGAAAAATGCAGTCACCATTTTGGTAGAAGTTCATGAACATCTCACAGCATTTGCTGTGCTCCTCCTATTCTTAGTAGTTAATATAGTTATGCCATACGTCATGTCCAAAAAAGAAATCGATGTGATATATCAATCATGTACATTTTTTCACCTTTCTTTAAAATAAACCAAACAAACACAGCACAGAAGTGTTGTTTTGCTTGGAAATAGTGACTTAGTTAGTAATGTAATACAATACAGGTAAATGGGGATTACATTTCCACATATTCTATAAACAAGTAGGTAAACTTTTATTTAACATCATAATCGAGAAATCAACTTCTGTTAAACAAATGTTAGTTATTTTAATGATCTGAGTCAACTATATTTGAGTAGGTTTATCACAATATTTAAATTTGATACCTCCCATTGTGCTAAATATATCCACTTTCCATACTATATACTGTACTACTATGTCTATACTTAAAAGCATATTACTTTTATTTTGTCAATAATATGAAGGCTAAACCGGATATCCGTAGGTGTTCATAGCTACAATGTTCGGTACAAACTACACCAGTTAATCCTCCATTAAAATATTTAAGTTATTGTCTATCGGAACACAATTTGACACCAAATGCAAAAATTTGTGTTTTGTGCACGAGTTTTCAGTAGATTTAGGTTGCAGGCTAACGTAACGCTTGAGCCAGTACAAATGTAAACAACGCCATTAAGAAGACAAAGGTTCCGCCTGACACGGAAGCTAATAGTGAGAAGCACGAAGTGAAAGAAGGGTTTGAAGCGGTGGCGTAGGTACTCCTCCGTCTTTACTTTGCCTATTAACGCAATTCTTTTAGCTAGAAGGGCACTTATGAAGTAGTACATAAACTTGGCTGTGGTTGCTCTGTGATGTGTCGTCTTAATGTTAGCAAGTGCATGTGCTACCGGCAATAAGAGAAACAAACAACCTTTTTTTCCCCCAACTTGTCTTCTCAGGGCAGCTTGTCCCCGGTTTTCATGGAGGCACTCAACACGTTTGACACTGAGATGGAGCCCGACGGGCAGGGAAATTACTCTCTGTTTCCCGGTTTGGACAGTATTGCAAGTCTGTCTGGAACTGCAGAGTCTTTAGAGAGGTTGTTAAAAAATGCTGTGATCCACCAACAGAACCCTTTGCAGTGATTAAATGTCCTTTGTTGACAAAACTTTGTGTTTACACTTGTCAAGGATACATGCATTCATACAAATCGCTGCTTAAAGCAAAATCTCATCACCATTGCACACGATGAAACCGTAAAATTGCACACTTAATGACCTTTCTTAGAAGTCTAAGGCTCAGAACAATAGCCCCGAATGTGTGTTGAAGCACTTTTGTTTCCCCTGTGTAGCGAACCTCCCAGTGAAATAGCTGAGAAACCAAACCTCACGTGGCTGGATGCGGCACAGGTATGTACCGCACGTGCATCACATGCCATACTTATCTCTTTACCTTTTTTTATGTCTTCGTGTTTGTGCTGTAACACGTGCGTTTTTGCTCCTTTGGTGCAGATTGTGTTGGAGGAAGCCGGGCGCCCCATGCACATAAAAGAGATCAAACAGAGAATCATCGACCGGGGACTCGTTCAATCCAAGTACGGCTGAGAAAATGGGGGCTTTTTTTTCTATGTGTGTTGCTTTTCTAATCTTCGTTTTCTATTCTCGACAGTGCAAAATCGAGCCTAGAGGCTGTCATGTACCGAGAGGTAAGGATGGCGTTTTAGACGCAGGTCGACAGCAACCTCTGCTGTCCAGTCTAAACAGCTCTATTACATGTGTCATCCGTATTTGTGTCTTTTGATTTCTCCATGTTTTCCCATTCTGCCTTTTGAATATTATTGAACTTATCTTTCAAGAGAGGCAGACATCGTAGAGGTGTTACTGGATCAAAGGGAGCTCTGTGCTTCCAATAGTCCAATCACGATTATAACCTGGCCTGATTTGAACCCCAGCTTTGGGAGTGACACGTAGCTTTTGTAGCCCTGTGCATTTGGCCTCAGTCTCGCATTATGTTTCAGACACAAAAAGGCAGCAGGCGATTCAAGAGGATTGAAAACAGAAATGGAGTCTTTGCACTGCTGGTGAGTTATCTGGGATACTAAACCCACTTTCACCCACAAGGTTGAGTAAACATTTCATGGGATTCAGATACTTTTTACAGTTTCTTTTTGTGTTTGTGTTTTTTTTGTAAAGCATTCTTTTGATTTTAAAGGACCTGCCACAAACGGAAGATCTTCACCCATGTGTTGAGCAGGATCTTTATAGCCTTATTTTCCGTGTAATTTCAGATGGCAGGTGTAGCGTTTTTAGTTTGAAGACGGAGGCCTTTTGGAGAACTGATTGTAGATTTAAAAAAAGAAGGAAATCCTGCAAACACAAACAGAATTAGCCTTTGCGTCCGTGTCGCATTTGTCCGTTTTGTCCACATTTCACCTGTCTGGGGGCGGCGCCTGCCTCGCTACTCAGCTGCTCTGAGAAACATCTGTGTCCCCGTCTCCCCCCTCTGCCTCCCCGCAGACGGACGAGGAGCGGCAGCAGGCCCTGCAGGCCTTCAGCGCGCAGGCTTTCCTCGGCTCGCCCCCGCAGAGCGCCGCCTCCGGCTCCGGCTCCAGCTCCGGCGCCTCGGCGGCCCCTCTGCTGTCCAGCGCCGGCTCGGAAAACAAACCCAAAGCCAGGAAGGGCCAGCGGAAAAACCAGAACGAAAAGTACAGACTCAAGTACCTGAGGCTGCGAAAAGCTGCCCGCGCCATGATATTTGTGAGTTTAATCGGGTGTCCTAAAAGGTCGCTTCAGACTTTGCAGATTTTGAATGACAGAATGGAAGTGGCTCGCGTTCTGCTAGGAAGAGTGTTACCCCCTTTTTTAATCCCCAGGAGAACGCAGCGCTTTGCGACGAAGTTGCCCACTTAGAAGAGAAGTTTCTGAGAGCAAAGGAGGAGCGCAGGTGAGCGCCCGGAGCTCCACCAAAGAGTTTTCCCTTCAAAGCGCACCCTTCCAAAGAGTTCCCCCGACCTGTTCAACTCTGTTTCCAGGTTCCTGTTGAAGTCGTTGCTACAGTACCAGTCTCTGTCGGAGGGGGAAATGCTGGCCGCGTCCAGCTCCGGCGCCGCCCCGCCCGTCCCGCCCACGCCGTCGTCCTCGGGGCCCGCCGCGGCGCCGGGCCTGCCGGCCGCGCACGGACTGGCAGCGTCGGTGCTGGCGGGGGAGGAGGCCCAGCTCAAAAAGCCCAAGAAGGAAAGGAAAGAGCGGGGAAGGGAAAACGGCAAGGAAGAGCGTGAGTTTTTTTCTGGAAGCACGGGGGATCGGAGCGGTGCCGCGATTCGTCGCGTTGCCACAATTTGCTGGAATTTGTGCCCCCAGCTCCAAAGAAGATGTCGAAGAAGAGGAAGCTCGCCGACGGGTCGCGGAAGCTGGTCCAGCCCATCCCGCTGGACTCGTCGGGCCGGCCCGTGTTTCCCATTGTACTGGGGGGCTTAACAGTCTACAGCCTGGGAGAGGTCAGCGTCTGAGACACCCGGAGCCGGAACGTCCGTCCGGATCACTTAAATCTAACCTGTTTTTGAGAATGCAAAATTTCCACCTTTTTTTTTTTTTTTTGTCCAGATCATCACAGACAGAGTGTTTTTTCACGATGAGTGTGCAATCTACCCGGTGGGCTTCTGCAGCACGCGCGTTTTTGCCAGTATGAAAAACCCCGAACAGCAGTGTCTCTACACCTGCCAAATCAAGGATGGGGGGACAGGCCCACAGGTATATATATATATGTATTTGGATGGATGGATGGATGCATGGATGGATGGAATATTTAGACGGTTTTGCCACAATACACCTTTTTTTTTAATGGTGCCTCTTTGAAAAACGAGGGATCCTTGAAGAGCAATCCTGCAGAAAGCTTCATTTGAAGAGTAAAAAAAAAAATTAAAGTTTATTGTTTAACAGCATCTGACAGTGATGTCCTTAAGGATTAGGAAAAGTCGGGGTCAGGACCTGAGAGATGAAACACGATCCACTAAAAAGCATGGCATTTGAATTCGAACACGATTCAGGCAGATCACTGCAGATGTTATAGGTGCTGGTGAAAACTCTGTATGCGTAAAACATTTGTACGGGAAGCATTAGAGTATTTTCTGCCCTCCTTGCCCAGTTTGAGATCGTGCCTGAGGAGGATCCCCAGAACGCCATCGTGGCTTCCTCGGCTCTGACGTGCCACTCAAACCTACTGAAGGCCATCGCGTCCAACAGGTGGCAGCTTTCCCCACACCGCACAGGCCGAGTGAATCGCCCACGTTTCGTGGCGTTTATACATAATCCCGCGCTTTTGTCCCCCCCAGCTCCAAGTCTGTGACACCCATCGTGCCGTCGGGGGCGGACTTTTTCGGCTTCTCTCATCCCACCATCCAGAATCTCATCCAGAGTTGTCCCGGAGCTCGCAAATGCAGCAAGTAAATTTCCACCGCTGACTCGGCATTAAAACACAGTTCACTTTGAATTTGACATTTTTATCTTGTCATTTGTGATTATACAGGGTGAATCTAAAGTCCCATAACAATTTTTCACCTCAGAAAGAAAAGGGGAAAAACACCCCAGTGAGTAATAGGTGAGGAGGACTATCCTTTAGGCTCTGTCTGAAACACGGCCGCCATCTTGGACCAAGGTTGAGTCTTTCCCATGGCAAGGCGGTCTTGTAGCATATCAAAGAAGGCCACATTTGTCTTAAAAAACTTGTGTGCCGTAATCGGATTTGCAATATCTCTTTTGGTAAGAAGTTATCGACACATGAAAGTTGCAACAGCAACTGGGAACGTTGCCTGTGAAGCACAGCTGTTTGAGGTTTTCAGCACCAGGGACAGCTCATTGAACACATACATGTTCTGGACATGGCCTAAAAGATATCCCCCAACCACACCCATTACATGCCGGGGTATTGAGATTTGTCATTTTCCCTTTAGTTTTTAAATGAAAGGCTATATTTTGACGTGTACATTCCTACATACTGTGATGTATGATGTCCCTGAGCAGGACAGGAAATTGATTCAGCTGCAATAGCCTTCCCATTCTACATACACCAGCTCAAGCACTGCTGTCATTATAAAAAATCTAACTTCTTGTTGCTTGATCAAGCTACAGGTGGATTCGTTTCGAGGTGTGTCGCCCCGGTGACGGTCAGGTCCCTCACAGCTTATCCGAGGACGATGCCTCGGTAAACTTTGAAGCCTACCAGAGACAACAGAGATTTGACGGGAACGTCAAGACGGAGCACATCGCAGGTGTCCTGATATATTTATGAAAAGTGTATTTTAGCTAGATATACTGCCTGGCCAGAAAGAAAAAAAGAACCACTATTGATTGACATTTTAGCCAATTGCTGTTGGCTAAAATGCTAAATGGCCGTCTACGAATAGGACTGACAGAATTCCAGCTTCCCGCAGATTTGTGTATTGTCAGAACCAGTGACCCTTCCTTCTTCTTCTGTCCTCAGCTCAGATGCCACAATCTCCCGGTTCCTCTCATCAGCACCACCTGACCTCACCCACCATGAAGCCCTCCACCTCCTACTTCAGCTCTTGAGATTTTGGCGGCGGAACCCTCTGACAGCGAGGGCCGTACCTGATATCAATCATTCCAGGTTTTCTTCATTTACAAAAACAATAGAATTGTTTCCTGGTAATTTTTTAAAAACGTTTAATAACTGAAAGATTGATGCAGATGTTGAAATTTGTTCGGTCAACTTTCAGACGGCCTCACAGCGCAGAGCTGAGGATGTCTGTACAGTTCACGCTGCTCTGTATTGATGGTCTTTGTCTTAGAACAATAAAACCTATTCAAACAGACTTTTTCCTTTGCATATTAGCATCTGTACCTAATAAGTAAAATAACACAACGTTTCTGTTCTTCTTTTATTTGATACATTTGTCATTGACGGTCCAGCATGTCAACAGCATAGATTGTGAACATCATTTACCTTTTACACATTACTCTAGATAACTAAGAAATTTGATGTATTATGTGAAACCATCATTACAAAAAGCTTGTGGAATCACTTTTAGCAGCAGATATTTGACTCGTCAGTGTTAAAAATACAAGAGCTTATTTGCTGTGTAGGTGTGCGTCTTATCAGGCACCGTTCACACATCCACAATGAAAAAACAAGTTAGTTCAAAAGTGAACCGTAGTGATCTTAAACCACTTTATTTTGCTCTACTTTCTGCTTCTGGCTCTTCCAAATGTTTTCTCTGTCTGGATATCGACCCATGATGAATGGAGGTGCGGGTAAAGTCCCCGTGGCGCTGTAGACGGGACAGGCTTTAAAGTCACACGGCGTGTCCCTCCAGGCGTAGCGCAGAGCTGTGACTTCATCGGGAGGCGGACAGTTAGAGGTGGAGAGCTGGATGGTGGTCGGACCCCACTTCAAGATGGCAGCAGGAACCCAGAGTATCCTCTGCCCGAACGGAGGCCGACTCCCCGAGCAGCAGATCTTCTCACATCCAAAACGAGGACATCAGCACAAGAGCAACAAGACGAGACCAAACGATAATAACAAACCCATCCGACAGTGAAAGCTTACAGCTCGTGTGGCCAGCCTTACCTCAAAGATGTTTTCGGACACCGTGACAGAGATTTGTTGGTCATACGTAACGCTGATAAACACTTCAGTGTGCAGGATTTGTACGGGGAAGGGTCCGAGAAAGGCCACGCCCTTTTCCCCGTAAGCCACGGCCCTGGCGCCCACAGCCAGCCGATGGGCCACGTCCTGCTTGTCTCTGGGATGGATCCTGGAAAAGAATTAATCGAACCAAACTTTAAAATCACAGGTGTGAGCTGCTGAGGCTTTTTGTGAAAATACCAACTTACCCCCCCCCCATTTTAACCAATACACTCCAATCTTAACTGATGGTTTGTCTAATTATGACCTCACGCACATGCTGGGAATGAACATTTCCAGATGTTTATTTTACTTCTTATTGAACATATTTAGTTCAAGAGCTTGTTCCAATCATCCCCAAACACTGCCCGCATAGGTGGAACAACACTAGTTTTCGTTTTCCCCCCCCTAACAGATTTTAAACTCCAAAACACTTTAAGGTACAAAATGAAATGGGAAAACAGGCCCTTCCAGCAGCTTTCAACAATCGGAGACATTCCAGAGAAGCCTTTGCGCTTTGACAGAGCTCAGTGAGCTGGGGCCTTACGAGCCGTAGGGCGAGGTTTCATCCGGCAGATCGAGCGCCACCGCCATGAAGGTTCTCTTCATCCGGGGGCTGGGGACAAAACCCACGTCGGCCGTTTGGTGCCAGCGGATTTCTGGGAAGCCGTCGTCTGTGGAGCTGTTTTTGTAGGTGCACAGCTAAACGGGGGAAAAAAAAAAGAGAACTCTTTAGGCAATAAATATAAACACGTGCAACAAAAAGACTCGCCACATACTTGGACAAACCCAAAGGGGAAGTCCAGAGCCGTCTGCCCCCCGGAGCCCAGGTGGAACGCCATCCTCCAGTCGTCAATCATAGCAGGGAATGAGCAGTTGTACTTGTCCTGGTGGTAATCGGCATTTGCCTCACCTGCAAGCGTGACAAGTCCAGCAGATGTAGAATTTGCAAACAAGCACTCTGAGCATTCACTTGTCTTCTATAGGTGGGCTACCTTGATACCAGACGGCTCCATAGATGGTCATGTTGAGCAGGGGGTGGATCATCGCATTCCATAAAACGGAATTTTTCTCTTTCGGACTGAGAAGAGTTAACAAGCAGAGAGGAGACAGAGGTGACCACACTGGGCAGCTGTTCCCGTCGGCCGGTTGCAGCCGTCTTTATGCCTTCACCTGTCCTCGCTTCGCTCCAGCCCGCAGTGCTGCAAGGCCCTCGGGGACGACCAGGCCTCCACCGGAGTCCCCCCCCAGCAGGACTCCACCAGTCCTACGGGGTACTTCAACTTGTCGTACATGTAGCGTCCGAAGAGCCAACACACGGCGGAAAACCCTCCGATGACCCCTGGAGAACGAACCAGTCGCTCGGTCAGAACAACCACCGGATTGTGCTTCAAACCATTTCATGAAGAGAGAAAGAAGGAAGGAAAGTGTCATCTCACTGGCTGTGGGGACCGACCAGGGCAGCTCCACTTGGATCAGATCTATCAGCTCAGTTTCATTCATTCTCAAAGCCGCCATGAAGGTCCTCACATCAGGATACTTAGCTGCAAGTGCCAGCTCCTCAGATGCATTGAAGATCTATTTGAGAGTGAAAGTATTCAGAAAGAAAAGAAAAAAAAAATTAAACACTTCAAGTCTCAGTTCTTAAAAGCCACCTCCATTCAACCAATCAAGTGATTTATTAGCATGAATCACTACTAAATTCCCATGTTGAAAGAAAAAACAGAAAAAAGAATATGACTGGAAAAACTGATATCTTGTGAGAGGGCGTTTACTCTGCCCAGCGTACCTGTGATGTACTAAAGAACATGTTGCTCTGGCCTCCGCACAGCCAAACATCTCCAAACATGACATCCGTCAGAGCCGCCGTGCTGTTCTGAGAGGCTGCGGTCACCGAGTAGGGGCCGCCGGCATCCACAGGGTCAAGGGTGACTCGCCAAAGGCCTGTGGACAGAGTCACAGAAAAAAATAAGCCAAAAAATGAAAGCTTTTAGAAAGAAAAAGCCTTAAAGCAATATGCTTTTAGGTAAAAGTCTCCCCGCCATCTATACAAGTTAAAACACCCAAACCACTGCTTTTTATTTCAAATAGAAAAATAAAACCAACAGTGGGTATAGCTCAAACTTTATCATTTTCCTTTATCCAAGTCAGCAACTTGAATCTTTTTGATTTAGGGAAGATAGGGGGGAATCTTTTTAAAGTGTGATGATGATGATGCATCTAAATACAACCCGACATGATTGACTTGTGTTTCTACTCTCTATCCAAAAGAGGTCATCCTGCAGGCTGACATGGGCCGCATTTACCTTTTGTGACTGAGGCCACTGAGGGCTTCCGTTTGGTTGGTCCTGACAGGTAGACGGTGACCTTTGCCCCCTCTGAACCAGAATATCCCCAAAGAACAGCTCTCTGTGGAGACTTCTGCAAAACCATGTGGTCTCCATAGTAAGAAGCAAAGCGCAGGTCCCCATCTACCCACAAAAAAATGGTATTAAGAATTATTTTTAACCAATCAAACACTTACAAAACAGGAAAACAAACAATAATAAAAGTCATACAAATATTTGCTTTCTTAAAAAAAAAAAGGGAATAAAACATGTAAACTAACAAAATAATGGCGGGTTTACTGAAGCAGCGAGTAGGCGAGAATGTTAGCCAGCTTACTTCTAGAATTTTTTCAAATGAGCTGTTTGGGAACACACGCGTCTGGCAAACTGGACTCACCACAGCCGTGAGAAGAAGTTAGAAGCATAACAAGTGCAACAACACAAATGCCATCCATGAGAACGAAACAAGCCACGTTAGTGGCACTAAGGCAAACAAGCAAACACAACAAAAAAATAAAAATAAAACAAAGACAGTGTCCCTGTCAGCGAACGTCACGCGCGTTTACTCACATGCCTGAAAATCGTGCCTATTAAAGCGGAAAGACTTTGATTGCTCGCTCGTGCGAGTTGTTTCGCTTAAAGGCCTCCCTCAGGTGACGTCACACAATCAGCTTTCAGAATAAAAGTCTGTTATCTGAAATGTTAATATTAAAAAAAAAAAAACTTGACACGCCGTGTGACACGTATATCCTGCGCCAACCATTTTTTCCCTCAGGTTTCCTAAGAACTGTCCTACGTGCAACGTGTTGTTGACTAAAAACATTATACCAGATGAATTACACAGCCTTAATAGGCTTCAACCAAAAACTGTACACAGAGCATGGAAAATGTCACATTTATTGCTGTTTTATTTCTCTTGGGTTGAACTTTCTGTTAAAAAAACAAGCAATGTAAACACACATTATTATCCATTATCATACACACATTATCATATCAATTATCCTTAATCCTAGTAGGTTTGGCAGCGGGAGAGCTGAAGCCCATCCTAACACCCTGGACCTGTACCAGTCAGAAGAATCAGAATCAGAAAATCAGAATCGGGTTTATTGCCAAGTAGGTTTTCAGACTTACAAGGAATTTGCCTTGGTGTTTAGTGCACAACACAACACTTCTATGAGAAGCAAGAATAAAATGTAGAAATAAAAATATAGGACAGAATGATAAAACTGAAAAATACAATCTTTAAAAATATAGATCTGACTGTACAAATGAACAGTCCATCACAAGGCCACATATGGACAAACAACCACATATAGAGAGTTACATTTTCTAACTTGCATGTTTTTGGATGCAAACTCCACCAAGAAAGGTCACCAATCCCCCAAGGAGCTGAATTAGGAACCGTCTTGCTGAGATGCACGGTGCTCTCCACCACCACACCTGCCCCATAATAAATGTTGGGAAATAAAGCAGTCAGATAACATTGCATTCATATTTTGGCCCTCTTGGTGACATCGACCTCCAACATTTATTCTCTATGAAGTTGTTTTGACCTCAACCTGAATGAAATGTTTTACTATCATTATTTCAAACTTCAACATTTAATATCAGACATAATTGCTTTATTTTGTCACAATTGCCACTGTTGGATCAAGCGAAATATTCCAAGACATTCTGCTGATGTGCGCACTGAGTGTAAAGCTAAGATGACATAATCAGGTGCTTGTATTTAACACCTGTCAATAGCATACTCAATCATTATAGCCATGTCTTCAGCGCTTTTTATGTCGGTCATAAAACCTGCTGACATCTTTTTCTATGTGGAATACCCATGTCGAATTGCATGTTCACCTTCTCAAACCAGATAGCTGCAATAAATACATACAATAAACACCAACAATACAACAAACCAAAATGTCAAATTTATTCTATTCCCTTGTTTCACAAAGTTTGTTTCAAAGACTTTGAAATCTATACAGCATCCAAGCACTAATATTATCCTTACAGACTCAGTTAATAAAGAATTAGACTGAAAATACACCTATGATAATTGCACAATTTCTCAAACCTTTGCCTCACATTCCTGAAGTAGTGCATTGCTGTGAGATAAATCCTTATGGAGGCAAGAGTAATTAACATCTATAAACCAACGCAACAGCATGAAAAATGACAGCAGATGTAACATTAATTATCCAGTGGTTTACAAGCCAGGTGTTTATTTACCAAATTATTTTATGTTTTTGTCCACAGTAAAGACAAATGAGCACATGGCATTCTGTTGGCATGCAATTAAAAACAAAATGTCAGCACTTACACAGGGTAAATGATTGAATAGGAACGAAACTGGAGGAATGTGTTTTTTGGGAGTGCACATAAAAGAAAACCTGTGAAATTAAAGGGAGAAACATATGTTCAGGGGGCATCATCAGATGCTGTTTGGCTACACCAATGAGCATATTAAAAACTGTATTATTGAATCAATTATTTTTAGCTTACCATTTCCACCGAGTATGTTAATGAAAGCCAAAAGAGCCTGAAACAAAAGAAAAAGAAAAGATTAATCTTATTTCTATACCAACCAGTGACTGGGAGATGTTATCCAAACCTAATTACATGCATGCATGATAGATTTATTTACACTTGTATATGTAGTCAAGGGGATTCACCTTAACTTCACGGGCTAGCCAACCCTGTTTTTGCTTATCTGTAAATTGAAACAACTGTCAAATTCAGCCACAGGCTTTTGGAGCATCTGGGACCAAACATCTACTACACAGGCAGTTGAACATAAGCCACTTGATAAATGATGTAAGGGAGACAAAATAGAAATAATGTATCTGAAATACCCGGGAAAGGTTTGTCTAAATGATAGAAACCACAGGATGTAACCTGTCTTTTGTGGTAATAGCTTTCTTCAATTTCTTATAACACTAATGATCATTGATTACAATACGTGTTACTATAATATTAAGAACATGAGCTTTTTTGTGTATTTGTATTTGTCTGACCCTGTGAAACATTGAGTATTGCTTCTTATTCAAATATTTTGTCAACAGATGCAAAACGGTGTCTAAAAAAAGAGACAATCAATAGAATTTAAAACTGAATGTAGTGGTTCTGTTTAATTAAGGCTCACAGACAAACTAGCTCAAAATAAATGCAAAAGTTTTATTCACAAGACTTAGGGAGGGTGTTTTCCTAAATGTTTATCCAGGATTTGTGGGTAATCGATGGGCATAACCAGGTGCTTGTAGAGTTTCCTGTAATGGTGACACAGCCAATGATTATTTTTCCTCAGGGAAAGATTTCTGAAGTGGTCAGTTTCTAAGTATCCAAATACCGGATTCTGGGGCACAGAGGGAGATTTGGTGGGCGGCTGCCGCATTCAAGCACGTACAAAGGAAATGAGCCTAGTTAAAGATGAGGAGATGAGTTAAATGAGCAATCAGAGTACAGAGCAATCTGGAGATAACAGATTGAAAGTTATATGATCCACTTTTAATGTCCTGCTGTGTGTATGATACAGTAGTGTTTTTAGTCACAACATGTTATGGGACTTTTCAAACCCCGAGAGTCCAAATTGTGGGCCCCAGAAGACTGGTGAAAGTCCCAAAGCACAGTCCAAAACAATATTCTTTTTAGGACTGGCAACCCTCTAGAGATGATTGATCCATAAACATTACTACAGCTGCTGCCTCTCTCACAGATTGTCCTTCCAAGGAGCGCTCATAGCTGGAGGCATGGACCACAGAGGATGCATTCCTCCACCTCAGAGGGGACTACTACTGTTCTGGCTCAAGTGAGTCCAGCGGAATCAGGAGCTATTGACCAAGGAGAAGAACTAAACAACTGTAGAAAAAGAGAGCCTGGTCATTAAATGGCGCCTGCTGGGGAGGAAGTCCACGCTGGTCACAAAAATAAAGAGACTGATAGTCAACTTACAAGGCGGATTTGTGAGCCTGCAGACGTTTAACGTCTCTGTTGGTAACAGGCCCATACAGTGCAGCTGACAACGGGAAGAAGCTTTCAGGAGCCGCTCACACAGCGTGACAGAAGAACGACTGACCTGGAGGTGTCACTGCTTCATCCGGACCAAATTAGGGAGACGCCACTCAGGAGTTACTTTAAACGAAGCGTCAAGCATCCTTTGACTTCATCCCTCCTTCGCCTGTATTGATTGGGCTGCCTGTGGGTAGCCTGAGTTGTTATGTGAAGAAAAACAGCCCATTATCTGGGTAAAAAAAAAGCTTATTTCCTGGTAGAGCACAGTGAAACAAACTTGTTCTGTTTGCTTATTTTCCACCTGCAAACTCCATCTTGCATCTCCTGCACTTTAAAATGCATCATGCATAATTGGCTAAAACAACGTATTTTCCCTTTTCTGTGGAAGTATTTTACGCCTTTTTTTCAGAAAACATCAGTTCAATTATATCTATTTATCCAAATCAAGCAAGGCTAAAGAACTTTGAATTGAAAAAATCCTTCTGGCGCATCTGGAAAACTAAACTAGGTCTTATTTCACAACATTTCACAGTTGGCATTTTAACAGAGACGTGTAGAAGTATCTGCACTGCAGTGTCGCTGATAACTAATATTCAACGTCAATAAGATGAATGACACCGGGAATAAAGAAAATTGTTTTCTGCGCACTTTGCTTCGTTCTGTATTAACAGAGAGAGTAAACACCTTATCAGCCAGCCTGCCAGTGACACATCGCACACATTTTCCAAGCAGCCAATTAAGTCTAAATTAACTTGCAAGCATGTGCTAACACACAACAAGAATAGACACACCCAAATTGAGAAGATGAAATGACAAATACGAAGTGTTCGGCACTGAATATTTGTAATTCACTTATGTTTCTGTACAAGCAGGCGAGGAAAGCATCAAACTCAATGTCAGGGTACATTCCTGCATGATAAATACTTCAATATTACCACTCAACTTCAGTCCAAGCCAGTGCTCAAATTAGATTACAGAAACTGGGTTGAAAATAGCCATCCCTCCTCCAGTGATCCGTGGAATGTGCTGTGGTCTATTCCATCACATTTTACAGCTAATTTCATGAGCTGAAATGAGAGACGCAAATATGTTTGTGGTTTCATGCATGAACCAAGATTTATGAGTGCTGTCTAAGGCCCTCATAGGTCTCTTAACACGCCAACTCCCATCCATCATGTGATAAATCCCTTGAATTATCACCTCCCTTTAAGTCACTCAGCGGCTATTAGGTGCATGAGAGGAGCCCGAGCATCATCCTTGTCCCCACATTCGCACTAACTGACACCTGAGTTAGTTTTCACATGACGCTGCCTGGTCCCATTAATGCCAAAACAATCTGCTGAAGGACACGATTTAGGGATTTGTGAAAGCATTTCAATGGGCAACAAAAAATATGAGCTGTAAACTTTCTTACATGAAACCTATTGCTCTTTATAGAATCCCACACTCATGTTGCAAATTATTAATCAAATAAAGAGTGAACGGATCATTTTGGGGACGGGGTGCCTGTTTTCTGAATTGCTTGGAAGCTTGAGACCCCTCATAGCGGTATCTGATAGCTTACAGACATGAAATAATGGGATTGGCTTTCAGCGTTGCTGATAGTTTTAAATCTAGCGAGGAATTTTTCCCTCCTAATG